AAGCCACAGGAATTCCATGTAAATGCCACCCACTCTTCCCGCAGCCTCGTGTTGTGGGGGAGAGTGCCTCAGTCATGCCAGGTCGCCAAGATTCATTTCTACCTGGCTCACGACGCCTTCCCTTCCTTTGTCAGGGCAGGTGGCTTGATAATACGCAGCTCTTTTAGTCTGCACAGCTCGTGGCTCTCTGAGATGTGGAAACAGAGGTCTAGGGAGGAGGAGGGTTAAGTAGAACGATGGTCACTTAGAAAACAACCTTTCCTCTGGTCGTTAAGAGAAGGTGGATAAGACTGTTTGGTGCTTATGGCAAAGGTCTGAGGAGGGGTGGGGGAAGAAACACACTTCACTGGCCCCCAACTGGGAGGCAGAAAGACACACACTACATTCCCCTTCTGCACCAGAGACTAGTGGGGCCTAGGCTAGTAGATTTTGTGGGCCCTCTCTAGGTTCTGGGGTGGGACGCAAAAAGGAGGGGTTCAGTGTGTGGGAGGAAGCTGCCAGGAAGAGTGTTTGGGGTGTGGTATCTGGTCAGACGGAAGGTGCAGGAATGGGTTGGGGGTTGGTGGATATAGGTGGGTGATAGGGTGCAGGAGCGGGCTCAGGGTGGGGGGTCTGGGTGATAGGTAGGATGCAGGAGTGGGATGGGGGTATGGGCAGGAGGAAGGTGCAGCAACGGGCTGGGAGTGGTGGTCTGGGTGAATGGAGGATGCTTATCCGATGCAAGGACACACATGGTTCCATGTTCCCTGCCGCTCCCAGGCATTTCCCCCTGCTGCTCCTATTGGCTGTAATCACAGCCAATCAGAGTGGTAGGCGAGGGAGGGGAAGCTTCCAGGCAGTGCTTTGCTGCACTGCCATTTCCCCAGCTGGCAGGAGGGAGAGGTGGAGTTGCGGCACATAGAGCCGCTTCCTCCCCCCACCAGGCACAGCCCATGGGTTGGAATCCGTCCTGGGCTTGCATGACTCTAGCCCACAAAGCTTGAGGCTCCCTCCTCCCCCATAGCGGTATGGAACCCTGAGCTCCCAGGCCAGATCTAGGCAAGCTGGGGGTTGCATCCATCCCCTGGGACTTAGGTTCAACTCCCCTGCTCTAGGACAATCCCAGAGGGTTGGGTGCCTCTCTGCAGCCTCTCCTTGCAACATCTGTGAAAGCTCTTTGAGCCCTGCAGGGCGGCTTTTGATCTCCGCTCCAAAGCCTGGAATAATTCACTTCCATCATTCACCCGGGTGCTTGTCACTAAAATATTAAGTCAGGTTGGAACATGGCGGCTGCATCTTTGCTCTCTGCACAATGTTCAGAATAAGCGGAAACCCCACGGCCTGCTCTGGGTTCCGCAGAACCAGGTTTGCTAACTGTACGCAGGCAGGCAAAAACAAGCGGCGGAGGTATGGTGCTGCTCTGGCAGGGATTCTGGTGGCTTCAGCACTAGAAGACAAGGATCCTGATGGCAGCTTAGCCTTCCCATCTAGCTGTGGGGGGTTCAGCCTTCATGCACTCTCCTGCTGCAGGCAAGCAGAAGTGATATTGACAAGCACACTCCAGACCGGCTGCCGGGGAGCTGTCATTTTGACTTTCCTGAAGGGAAAACCTGAAATTTTCCCATGGAAAATGTTTGGTTTTTGCAGAGCGGTGCGTGTTTTCCTTGGGAAATAGCTCTGATGAAAAAATTCAGCCTAGCTCTAAGAACCTATGGGAATAAATGACCGGGCCCCCAAAGGAGTGTGACTGCAGGGTACATTTTGTGGTTGGGACTTGCTAAGGACATGTTTCTCTTGTGATTGAGCCAATCAGTCATTGTCAGTGGCCTTGAGATGTTCATAACTCAGAAAAGTTTACGTTTCTCCTTCTTTGCAGTCCAAACCCAGCCACCCCCACAGATATCTTTTAGAGGGTCTCAAGCAACGTTCCCTCATTTTTTCCCATCTGCATGTGGAATAAATTTCCTTATGACACCAATGCGTATGTGGATGTGCACCACCAGTAGAAACACATGCTGCTGTCTGTGGGTGGCTGCGAGCGCTCTTGCTAATCAACTGGGTGGCATTTGCATCTCTCCTGAGTAACCATCCAAATGCACATCTTACAGGGAACACCGGTCTCAAGTGGCGCTACATAACTGTCTCCAGGACTAGGTTATGGTCTTAGTAAAACTGAGAGCCGGGACCTACTCCTGGGATGTACCGCTAGCCTGTTCTATTGGGACAAGCCTTTGTGTATTAATTGTCTGATCCATGTTGCCACTCTCTTCAGTCTGCATTTGAAGGTAGGGGTGTGCTAGACTAATCTTGGAGAAATCCTCTATCCCAGGTAATAGGCAAGCATAACCTCTCTCCGGTATAAAGCACACTGATACGCACGCAGCACTGGCTTTATGGGATCCTTGAAGTGACCTCAGACACGTTGAGGAACATTCTTTTTCATTAGGAGTGCAGCATTCACTCTGCTTAGCGTTGGATAGATTTCTAGAGCCCAGTAAGTGCTGTGTCTACCCCGGGCTGTATTGCAAATGGGAGTGGATGCGCTTGAAAAAATTGAGGCCTGGCCCCCGCTGACGAAGATTTTGCTTTCATGGGTGTTACCTTGAAATCATAAATACCGAGGCTGTAAGGGGGCTCCATTCATTGCAGTTAACCTTGGGCACAATTTCAGCGTCCTGTAACTGCTGCAACACTTCCTGTACTTTTTGGATGTTTGCTGCCCCTGTGCTATGTGAAACCACCCACCTTTTCTCATCGGAGATGAGACTTTCCAGACTTGCAACGTAGATGGCCAAGCCTTCTAGTTTAATGAATGACCAAACAAGTAAATATCCCCCCTGGACATTTTGAAACTATTTTTTTAATCTATATGAGCAGGTTGCTACCAGTCCCTGTGTTGCAGCATCCCAGGATTAAAGACCCATCTTTATCAACTGCTGTTGTGATTTTACTCACTAGAAAAAATAGTGTCTTCCTCTCCTGTTAGCTAACCCGAGGTAAGGAACCTGCGGGACAATCCTAGGGGAGGCAAGGCAATGTGCAGTTTTCATGTGTGTGAGCAAGTCTCAAGGTAAAGGCTATTGGAGAGACCAGGGTTACAACTATTGCCTTATTTTCACTAGAATTTTACCTCAGACACAAGCACTAGCTAAGACTAAGTCTGTACTGCACCCTTTTTCTTCAAAAGCTTATGCAAATGAAGCGCGGAGTGGAATATCGCCACGCTTCATTTGCATAATTAATTAGGGGCTGTTTTTTGGGCAAGAGGTTTTGCACAAGAGCCATTCTTCCTGAAAAAATGAAGAATGTCTCTTGCACGGGGAGGTTGCACAAAAAGGAGCTGTCTACACACAAGCTTGTACGGAAAAAGGGTGCAGTATAGATGCAGTCTAACATGAGGTAAGAACATCTCTCCTAGTGAAAACCAGGACTTCTGAGTTGCACCAGATCAGAGCTGTTGCTGGCGGTGCAGCTTTCCACGACGAGCCTGGTTCACACTGGTGCTTTACAGCGCCGTCACTTCTTGTGCTCAGGGGAAGGGGTGGTTTTTTTCACACCCCTGAGCCAGAAAGTTATGGTGTTGTAAAGTGCCAGTGTAGACTTAGCCTAAGGATAAAGGTAAAAGAGAATGGAAATCCTTAAAGCCTAAATCGCTCAAACAGTAGAAGCCTCCACCCAACACAAAACCACAGGCAAGACTGAAGTAGGAGCTAACCAGGCCCCAGGGCAGTTCTGTCGTGATGACAGCAGAGCAGAAGTTTTCTGCTGAAGAATTTCCACAAAAAATGCCAATTTGTTGCAGCCAAAATGTTTTGCAAATTTGTTTCATGCTTACCATATCATTTCAGCTGAAAACACAAAGTAGTATTCAAATGTGACCTTGTATACGTGAAACTTTTTGAGGGATTCACAACAATTTTTGTTTAGAAATGTATTGCTACTTAAAACAAACGAATCTCAAAAGCAAAACCAAAGGCTTTGTTTTGAGTTGAGCCAAGCAATTTGACCCCAAATATTATTTTTTGATATATCCAGTGATCTGAAAAAACCAGTTCGCATAGTTCTTTCATCTGTTAAACTTGGGACCGGGGTGTCTGTTGTATTGGAGTGGTGTATCTGTGTGTGTGAGGGAAGAAGAGGAATACCACAAAAACAAATACAGAAAAGACCAGGGAAGGCGTGGCTCCGAGACGGTGCCTAGAACCGTGAGGGGCGACCACAGCTAGTGAGTGGGCCGCACAAGTGGCCTCCTTCATCTTAGTGGACTGTTGTAACCAAGATGGTCTCCCAGGACAGGGTAGGTTTGGTCACTGTGCTCGTATACCTAGAATTTGGGGGGGGGGGAGGTACCAATTGAACCGTAGCAGCTCTGGGCTTGGATGCAGCAGGAGCACACGACTCTCCCAGTCAGTGTTGTGTGCAATCAGCACACCCCTCATTTCACATGCCCTATGAGTGCGTCTCACTTTTGTGATACTGTAGAAAAAAAGCCCTATGCGGACGAATACCAGCAGAATCTGGCAATCCTGTGCATGGGCAACCGTTAAAAAAAATTGTCTCGTGAACCACACACAGAATCTTAGAGGGCAGGTTGCCCACCGCCGGCCTACAGCGACTGAGACTTTGGGGCTATGCACTAGCTAGAAAAAGGCTTGGAACCAGTAGCCTCCCCAGGAATTGAAATTGGGGGGGTATCAGAGCTGATGAGGGGTGAGACCGTGAGGGTGAAGATGGGCTGTGTGGCACCATAGTTCACAAAACTGGGGTGGTGTTGGGGAAATTCAGGGGGTGCATACCCCCATGGGGGGGGGGAGTGTAGAGAAATCCCTGCTTGGAACTGAGAGAAAAAGAAACTGCCTCCTTATGTCTGATTTCTGTTTTCAGGGAAACAGGACGCTGTACCATCCTTGTAAGTGAACCAGACTGCATCCAGGAAATACTTGACTCCAACATGGCTTTCTTCTTCTATGGAAAACAATCAGCCAGGCTTTGAATTTTGCCTAACCCGGAGGGTCAAAAAGAGATAACCGTATCAAGTTTCCACTCCTTGCGGCCAGACATATGTTTCTTTGTTTTTAGCAAGAACGTTTTGAAGCCGATAAAGCTGTTTTTAAGTTACAGCCTAACCCGGCTACCCCACGGAGACAGATAAAGCTGTAGTGTGTTGACATTTGGACAACACCTTTCATTGGTTGCGAGCGGAGGTTTGCTTGGTGTAGATCTGAATCATTTGATCTGGCTGTCCAAGGCGCTAATTGCTTTACAATCTCAGCCCCCAGACAAAAGAAATTAATGTCTTCAAACTTCCTGGAGGAATAAAATACACCAAGTGTTGATGGTGGGTGAGCAGCCGATAATGGAGCAGCGGGCAGGGCTAGGGTATAAAAGTCAGGTGTGTTTTACTGCGGCGTTCGGGTGTGTTCTGCTCAGGAGCTGTTTGGGGGAGAAATCGAGCACCATGAAGTGGTTCATCCTGTCTCTGATTTGCCTCCAGCTCTCAGATGGGCTGGTGAAGTGAGTATGCCAGACCAGATAATGTTGTGCAGAGAAGTAGCTACGCGAGGGAAGTCTAGGTTGAGTATTAGGAAAAACTATTTCCCTAGGAGGGTGGGGAAGCACTGGGATGGGTTGCCTAGGGAGGGGGTGGAATCTCCATCCCTAGAGGTGTTTAAGTCCCAGCTTGACAAAGCCCTGGCTGGGATGATTGAGTTGGGGTTGGTCCTGCCTTGGGCAGGGGACTGGACTCGGTGACTCCTGAGGGCTTTTCCGGCCCTAGGGTTCTATGATTCGAAAACAAACAGGCCAGCGTGTTTGTGTCCGCTCAGCCAGGCCCTTACGATGACGTCTGCGACTGTATTTCTGCCTTGGCTCAGTGGTTCTTGCCCGGGCTGAGAACCAGAGGTGAAAATAAGCCCCAGTGCGCCGCTCCGGCAAGAGCTGACTGGGGGGCGCCGCTGTGGCAGGTGGGCGGCGTGGCTTGTGGTGCGCGCTCCTTCCCAGCCGGGCTCCTGCTGCAGGCTGGGGCTGACGACCCGGCACACACAGCCAGGCTAAAGGGACCCGCTTGGGGGCACATTGTAGAGGAGGCGTGTGTGCTCCCAACTGGACTCCTGGTGCATTTGCACCTGTCTTGCTGCCCCTCAGGGGACACCAGGCAGTGCACGTGCCGTCTGTGGTGTACATGTTGCCAGCAGGCTGGGGAGTGTCTCGCCCCGCTGCCGGTTTCCCAGCAGCAGTGCCTCCACACTGCCAGCTCACAGCTTCCTTGTGGAGGCAGCAGGAACCCAGCCACCCGGGTAAGGGCACCTGGCCCCTGGAACTCCCACAAAGTCTCCCCCACACACCCCCCCCCCCCCCCCCGGCCCTGACTCCTGAAACTCCCCCCCACAGTTCCACCCCCCAGCCCTGACGCCCGCACCTCCCCACATCCCAACACTCCACCCCACACTTACATTTCTTACAGGTACTGTCCTATCGCAACCCGCCCTGCCTTGAGGTCCCCCAGGGAGGCAAGTTGTGATCGCATAATACTTGTATGAAATGTAAGTTCCTTTGTCTCCCGGCGGTAACACACTGAGCTGTCAGAAGTACTTGGAGAAGGAAGGAACAGCTTTGTGGCAGGCTACAGAGTGGAGAGATGCTTGGAAGGGCAAACCATTTCCTAAGCTCTTCTTGTGCTATGCAGAGTCACTTTGAAGAAAGGAAAGTCTATGCGAGAGTTGATGAAAGAGAAAGGCGTTCTGGACAGTTTCCTGAAGAATCCCAAAGTTGATCCCGCAAGGAAGTACCACTTCAATAATTACAATGTCGCTAATGTACCAATAGCCAACTACTTGGACGTGAGTAATAAGGCTCTTTCTCCGTCTCTCTCTTCTTTCTTTATCTGGCCTTGCTCCTCTTCTTTCCTTCCTTATTACCTGGTCAATTTGTGTGCTTCTGTTTTCCCAAATCAGTACAATGTTTTGATTTCTCTTTCCAGCCCATGGAAATAGACAACTATTTTCAAGTGGTTTGGATGGAAAAAACTAAAGGAATCCAACGAACACACGAGTCCGGCTTCCAGTATTGTTTCTATTTGGGAAAGCAGTAGAGTCTGGGTTGTCCTGTTTCCCCCCTCCTACTTTCTCTCTCCCAAGTGTTTGCTGTGTATTCCCTGGGACACATCGTGTGTTTTCTCCAGGGACTGGGCTTATGGTTTTAGCACAAGTCTGGGAGTCAAGAAGTTACCATTCTGTTCCTGGCTCTGAAACAGAGCTGCTGGGTTTGTCACTACTCTTCCCCAAACATCAGTTCTCCTGTATGAAAAATACTGTACCAGCCCTGTGGAGCTTAATTCCTTACGGACTGGAAGGACCTTTGACAATTCCAAATGGAAGATACTGGAGAAGTCAAAATGGTGGAAAATGATGAACAGCCCAACGAAACCCCCCTGCCCACCCATCTTCTCTCTCTGCAGACCTACTACTTCGGAGAGATCAGCATTGGGACTCCACCCCAGAACTTCCTGGTTCTCTTCGACACCGGCTCCTCCAACCTGTGGGTGCCCTCTACGTACTGCCAGACCCAGGCCTGCTGTGAGTACTGCTCTGCTGTTAAATATTCCTTAGATGCATATCCTGTGTGCACTGCTCCTGAAAAGCAGAGACATATTCCAAGAAGGCAAGAAGTCACAGCATCTTCTAAACCAAGAAAGATCCTCTCAGTATTTACAAATGTCGGACTAAGAGATCAGCTAGTCTCCTTCTACAGCTCTGTTCTAAGCCCTGCTTACAATATGGATCACTTTTTCCATATAAAAAGGCACTACAGTATTCTGAAGGAGTCGTCCAACATTCTAACAGCTGTGATGCTGCACTGTAGAATACTGCAGAGTGTATGGTAAAGTTTAAGCGGTCATTCTGGGTGATGACAAATGCCATAACTATGACCCAGATTTTCAGCTGGCATAAACTGACATTTATACCAGTTGAGGATCTGGCCCATAATTCTTAAATGTTATGGTTCCAGGTACAAGATAGGTTGATGAAAGTGGGCATTAAAAAAAGTTTGTTTGATATTATCTGGCTTAATATCAGTGTTTTGTTCTATCATACAAGAACTCTTGGGCTAACTTTTCTTTCATTCCATGGGACATTAGTGGTTGGAAAACGCTGCCTCCACTTTGTAAGCACTTGAATGAGTCTGGCTTAAATCACATTGCAGCCACAAATGTGACTGGCCATGATATTGCAATCTTGTTTTTAATGCAGCCAATCATGCAAGGTTCAATCCCAACCAATCATCCACCTTTTCCAACATTGGAACAACCTACACACTGCCCTATGGGTTTGGAGACGTGGAAGTGGTGTTAGGTTATGACACGGTGACGGTAAGTGAAATTTGCACCATCCTCATCCTGTGTTGCCATTAGAGTAGTGGCCCTCAAACTTTTTGGCGTGTGGCCCCCTCTGCTCAATGCAGACCTTTCCGTGGACTACCAGCCAACCACACATGATGACAAAATGGCTGCAGAAGGTGTTGGAGGTGTGGGGTCTGGTTGGGAGAGAGGGTGTAGGAGCAGGGTTTTGGGCAGGAGGGAGGATGCAGGAGTGGGGTATCGGCAGGAGGGAGGGTGCAGCAGAGCGGGGTATCGGCAGGAGAGAGGGTGTACGAGTGGGGTTTGGCAGGAGGGAGGGTGTAGGAGCGGGGTTTGGCAGAAGGGAGGGTGTAGGAGCGGAGTATTGGTAGGAGGGAGAGTGCAGGAGCGGGGTTTGGCAGGAGGGAGGGTGTAGGAGGGGGGTATCGGCAGGAGGGAGGGTGTAGGAGGGGGGTATCGGCAGGAGGGAGGGTGTAGGAGGGGGGTATCGGCAGGAGGGAGGGTGTAGGAGGGGGGTATCGGCAGGAGGGAGGGTGTAGGAGGGGGGTATCGGCAGGAGGGAGGGTGTAGGAGGGGGGTATCGGCAGGAGGGAGGGTGTAGGAGGGGGGTATCGGCAGGAGGGAGGGTGGAGGAGCAGGCTGGGGGTATGGAGGATGCTTACCTGGCTCTGCGCCTCTTGCCACTTCTATTGGCCATGAATCTGGCCAATAGGAACAGCAGGGAAAGCCTCCAGGTGGGTGGTTTCCTGTGCTGCCATTCCCCCACTTGGGAGCAGGGGGAGCAGCAATGCATGGAGCCGCTCCCTGCCCTCATGAGCTGGATTTACCCTGCCAGGCTCCTCGTCCTCCCACAGCGGGAAGCCAGCGCTGGTGCTCCAACCTCATGTGGGGAGTGGGGGGCAGGCTCCCCACTGCAGGCGTGGGGCAGAGCTCCAGGCCTGTGGCCCACCTGCAAGATGGTCAGAGGTCCGTGGACCCCACTTTGAGAGCCACTGCATTAGAGGGATGTCTCTGGACTCATCGGATGGCATTTGGGGTTAGAAACATGAGGGGTTGTGATTAGTAATATCTTGTCTTGAATGCAACCTACTAAGGCTTGTGACCCACATGGAAGCAAGAAGACATGATACGTCTTTCTAGTTTAACTGCCTTGGGCTGGGAGACGTTTATCTGAGGACATTTCATGAGCTACATTCCATTGGCTTCAGTGTTGTGACACCAGCAGTGATTTTGGTTCTGTAAATTTGATTTTTATGTTGTTCATTAGACCCTGTTAATACAGAACATAGTAAGAGAAACCTGCACCAGTTTTAACTTTCAGATGTGAATTTAAACCAATTTAGTTAAATCATGCAAACCCCAGTGTGGATGCCTTTGTATTGTTTTGAGTGGCTTCATTTCCGTGTCTTTTTCTTGAACTTCAGAGTGGTTTCTTTCATTAAGCAAAGTGTCATAAAGCCCCTATTGATCCAGTGTAACGGAACTGGTTTAATCAGTGATTTAAGTTAAACTAGTGCTGCTGTTTCATGTGGACAAGTCCTGAGTTAATCAGTCAGTGAGGAACAACATTAGCTATACTGATCATTACTAGGCACAAACTCTGTGGCTACGAGTTTTTTTCCCCCCTGATTTTGCTGGGACTTCAATTTTCTCCTTTGATTGAGAAAATGTCCTCAACTGACTCCCACTCCAGATCAAATATGCGAACCTGCTTAGAGATAAGCCCCTAACCCTAGCAGTGTGCTTTCTCAGAATGTCTTGAGCATCAGCAACCATTGAGAAAAGAAATGGTTACATGTTTTCGCTGCCCTGATTACGTGTAAAATTCTCGGTGAGAGCTGTTCTTTTCTTCCCCTGTAGATCCAGAACATGGTCGTTGAAAACCAGGAATTTGGTCTGAGTCAAAATGAACCTAACTACCCCTTCTACTATACTTACTTTGATGGGATTTTGGGAATGGCTTATCCTCCGGTAGCCCTACCAGGGTACAACACACTTATGCAGGAACTGGTGAAGCAGGGCCAGCTTACTGAGCTTATCTTCAGTTTCTATTTCTCCCGGTAAGATCTCTCTCCCCCTCTCCTCCAACATAAGTATTTTCTGTCTACGTCTCTATTTTTCTCTCTCCCACCATTCTGTTTTCTTCCTGTCTATGGGTATGTCTAGACTACATGCCTCTGTCGCCAGAGGCATGTAGATTAGGCTACCCGGCATAAGGAAATAAAGCTGCTATTTAAATAATCGCGGCTTCATTTAAATTTAAATGGCTGTTGCGCTCTGCCGACCAGCTGATGATCAGTTGTTTGTCGGCAGGTCGGGGCAGTCTAGATGTGCCGCAGTCGACAAGGAAGCCTTTGTCGACTGGCGCAGGTAAACCTGGTTTCACGAGGCATACCTGCACCGGTCGACAAAGGCTTCTTTGTTGACCGTGGCGTGTCTAGACTGCCACGACCTGCCGACAAACAGCTGATCATCAGCTGGTCGGCAGAGCGCGGCAGCCATTTAAATTCAAAGGAAACCACAATTATTTAAATTGCAGCTTCATTTCCCTATGCCGGGTAGCCTAATCTACATGCCTCTGGCGACAGAGGCATGTAGTCTAGACATACCCTATCATCCCTCCTCCCCTAGCCACATGTGTTTTACAACCTATTCCCCACTGGGTAAAATCTGATCCCTATCTGATATGTTAATTATTTGTGCTTCCAGCCAGCCCACGTATGATTACGGAGGGGAAGTCATCTTGGGAGGCATTGACACCCAGCTGTTCTCTGGCCAGATTACCTGGATCCCTGTTATCCAAGAGGTTTACTGGAAGATTGGTATTGAAGAGTAAGTTTTCTTTGTGCACACGTATCTGTAACCCACACAGCTGATGTGGTTCGCTGTCCTATGGAGTGGCACTTGGACCACTTGCAGCGAGAGATAAGAACAAGGAAGCTCTACAGCCTAAGCTGAGAGCCAACTGGCTTTTAGCTCAAGCTGTAGAGGCTCCTACACTAAGCTCCAGCGGTCCCAGGTTCAAATCCGTTTGGTGGTGGTTACACACACATGCTTACTAATGTAGGTTTGTACCTTTCCTCCTTATTGTCCATATACAGCCTTTCTGGCTGTAATTAGTGAAGTCGCAAGCTCCGAACATGGCTCAGGGTAAAGGCTGGGTCTGGATTTCAGACCCACCCAGAAAGAGCCATGATTGTGGTTCGAGTAAAGCTGATAGGTCCGATCATAGGTCCCAATTCAGCAAGAATCATAAGCATTATCTTGAAACATGCCTAAGCAGCAGCTGCTTAAAGATTAAGAGCTTTGCTGAAGAAAGATGGAATTAGACACACCCTAAAAATTAAACACGTGCTGCTGTCCTCTCCTGAATCGGGGCCAGTGGCAATGCTTGGCCCTATAGAATAAGGGTCTCTGAATGGCAGGTTATGGAGTATCTGAAGCCTTGTGGTTTTGGTCAGTGATGGGCAACCTGTAGCCACTGAGCCACATGCAGCCCATCAGGGTTCTAGGTGTGGCCCAGGAGACATTTTGTTCACCATTGCTCATGCACAGGGCTGCCAGAATCCGCTGGTTTCCCTCCACGTAGGTTTTTCCTACTGTTATTACTAAAGTGACACACGCGTAAAGCCAGGGCACGTGAAGTGAGGGGCGTGCTGGCTGCACACAACACTGACGGGGAGAGCCGTGTGCTCCCTCTGCAGCCAATCACAGTGCTGCTACGGTTCAGTCGGCACCCCCCGCAAATTCCAGACACACAACTGCAGTGAGCACAACTGCCCTACCCCGGGATACTGTCTTGGTTACAACAATCTTACAGCCTCCTGTGAAGAAGGAGGCCACTCGTACAGCCCACTTACTAGCCTCGGTTGCCCCTTGCTGCTCTTGGCTCAGCTTGCATCTGAGGCATTCTCTTGTCTGACAGATTTGTACCATGAAGTTTCCTGTATTTCCCCCCCTTAGGTTTGTTATCGGACAGCAGGCAACTGGCTGGTGCAGCCAAGGCTGTCAGGGCATCGTGGACACAGGGACATTTCAGCTCACCGTCCCGCAGCAGTACTTGGGGTACTTCCTGGAGGCTGTGGGGGCTCAGGAATCTAACGGAGAGGTAGGAGCAACAGGAGGTCTTGATACACTGCCGAGGATGTCCACATTTTGCAGTGCCTGACACGGGGAATCCAAGACATCAGAGGATGAGAACGACGGGCTTTTGTGTGATCAGACAGGGGCTCTGGGGCCAGCATCTTAAAATTGGTGGCAGCACCGTCTATATTTCCAGAACATCAAGTCTCCCTTGAGTGTGAGGAGGGAACATCTGCTCTCCCTTTCCCCAGTGGAAATCAGAAGTAATTCTGGTGAAGTCAGTTGGCAAGGTCATTAATTGTTGTAAACAGGTGTAGTGCTGGAGCTATATTGTCTGACACACACTGAAGAGTCGGGGTGGGGTAAAGTCAGCATGAGCACTGAAGCAGGCAGTATGGGGATACTATTGTGGCTGGCAGGAGAAGATGGGTGAGGCTGAGGAACTGCCGCCTGTCTTATGGCAGAGCGCTACAGAACGGCTTCTACTAGACTCTGCCATTTGTCCAGCAAACCAAACATTCAGGGGTAACATTTGGTTTTGTTCCACAAAGGTTTGTAGTTTTTCAGCAGATTGGAAAGTGTATGTCAGGCCCTCAACTCTTGTGTGAGTGTTTCCCCTTCCTAACTGATAACCTCATGGGGCTGAATTGCTGCTCTAGAGCAGGGACTTGAATTCAGATCTTCCTCTCTTCTAGGGGAGGTGCTAACCACCAGGGCAGGCTCTTACCTGCAAAAATCGAAGGCACTCCAGCAATGTTCCCTCTAATATTTTTTATATGTGTGTGGAATAAACTTTATGTGCACCAAGGCATGTGTGGATGTGCACCACCAGTAGAAACACGTGCTGTGGGTGCTGAGGGTGCTCTGCTCATCAGCTGGGCAGCATTTAAATCTCTTCTGGGTGGCCGCCCAAGTGCTCAGCTTAGAGGGAACACTGCCACCCTGCCTATACCCTACCAAGGGCTCCAGGCGTGACTTGGTTAATTTAGGGACTCCCATCCTTCCCCTTCCAAAGGCTCCTACCCGTACCCACCTCAGGGCAACCTGGTCAATTTAAATACCTGCCCTTATCCCCAGGGCTCAGAACCAAATGGGTCTGTGAGGTCTTTTCCCACTGAAAGAACCTTTCACAACGGTGCTCTACACCTCTGTTTATTAGCAACACACACACACAAACACATATGCCAAGCACATGGCTTATGCTCAGCACTCCCAATATATAGACAAACTTCACCCAGTCAGGATTCACTTGCCTGGGGGTGCCGGTGATGCCGCTGCACATCACCGTTATGCAGACAGCTCAGACGTCTAGCTCCATACATGGTCCCCAAAGAGGCCTGCTTTATATTCATTTACATGGGTAAATCTAGCAACCTCCTTAAACTCCACTATACCTATCACATTATTTGATACCCCTAAGTAACACCATCGTACACTAGTACCTAGGTTTCCTCTCCCTACTCAACTCTTTTTTATGCTTTTTCTTTCATGCTTGAATTGTAACTTATTTATGGCCTTCTTTGTGCTAGTGCTCAGCATGAATTTCCTGGTTAGAGCTTATCTTATTTATTTTACCGTTTGTTGGGGGTCTTTCTATACCCTCCTAAAACTTCCCAGTGCCCAGGTGTCTCTGCTTTACAGCCCCTCATATTATAACTCTTGTTAGGCGCATTCCTGAAGGGGGGAGTGTCTTCATAGCACAGGAGCAATTTTTCCTTGGTTTTAGTGATGAAATGCCTGAGTTTCACTCAAGGCTAACTGAGGCTAGTTTAGTATGGGGATATGATGGATGAGAAGGGTGATATCCTTTTCTGGACATCCTGACCAGTCACAGTCTCTAGGAAGTGTTGGCAGGAAGCCAGAAGAGCCAACGAAGAGAGAGTATGAGTTTTTAAACTGAAAAACAGGATCATCTTGTTGTAGTCTTTTGTGGGAGCAGATCTGCGCTGGAGATATGAGTTAAGCCAGGAGCAAGGCATGGAAAGTTCAGTGATATCCATGCCTTGGGAAGGACTAACCATTGGAACAACAGGTATATGAGTAGAACAAGGAATGTTTAGTTAGATGTGATCAGGTTATTTTCTTTATTTTTGGGTTTGTTGGACTCCTCTGTGCTGTACCCGTGTACCTCACCCTCCCGCACCCTGTACATTGTAAATTTTAAACTGAATCCCAGGGAAGCAATTCTCTGTATTTTTAATCTGCCTTTTTCAGTAGCTCTGTAGCACCTAGCAACCTAGTATACTTCTTTAAGTATGTCATCTTTTTTTTGTTAAGAAAATCAGCTTTTTAAGACAATGATCTGATTCCTGTGTTGTAGAAGGCAGGAGGTTCTATGTGCCTGTGCCTGAGACTGAAAGGTCAGCTATTAAGAAATTACAGTTTGTTTTCAAGCTCCCTTCTGAGGAAGGATTAAAGAGCCTGGCATTACCCCACAGGAAGAAATTCCCAAATGTGTCTCCCTGGGTTCTCAAAAGAGTTCTTGCATTTGGGTGATGGCAGCGTACCACCTGAGGTCAGGGAATCTAGGACCTTGGGCAGTTTTTGAGCAGAAGCCTTTAGTGGTAGGGTATTTTAAAATGTCTTGTGGACCCCCAGCTTCTGCAATCAAAGTGTCAGAATGGAGAACAACCTTGACAGGTGGTGAATCAAGTCCCTGGCCTACAGGACTGGGTTTGCTCTCAATTGCTTCTGTTGATGCTGTTCCACACGTTTAAATGCTTATAGCGCCAAAGAGAAAGTGAATGTGAACGAGTGAACAGGACCCTCGTTCTGGTGGTAAGAGGTATGACTTTAAATCATTCTCTACCTGACTGTCCTGTTGAAGAGGAACAGCTTTGCTAAGTGAGACAGAGTGATATGCCAGTGGTTAGAGCACTTACTTGGTATAAGGAAGATCTAAGTTCAAGTCCCTGCTAGAGGATGGAGTTTGAATGTAGGTTTCCTACCTCCTAGGGAAGAGCCCTCTCCATGGGGCTAAAGGCTACAAAGAGGGAACACATGTGTGAACATTCATACATTTTGCAGCAAGATGCATCTCTCAGCTTTAGCCCACCCCAGTTTGGTGGAACAGTAGATACTTTACAGTAGCCATTCTCCTCTGTTGAGAAAAGCTCCTGTTCTAAGTTGTTACTGGCTTAATCACCTCTTGTTCTTTTCTTCCTCAGTACGTGGCTGATTGCAGCAACATCTCAAACATGCCGACCATCACCTTCGTCATCAACGGATCCCAGTTCCCGCTGCCCCCCTCCGTCTACGTCCTCAATGTATGTATTACTTTAAAGTCCAAACCAACTTTTCTCTTACAGAGACAAGGAGCCAGGCCCGGGTCCACAGTCAGGAGTCAGAGCTTCTGTACTGAAGCAGAGACCTCCCCCTTTTCCCACTGCAGTTCTGTGTGCCTGTCATTCCTAGCAGCGCTCAACACAACTGGGCGTTCGCATTCCAATCATGCAAGCTTACGGGGCCTGCTCCTGCTCCCATCCAAACCAGTGCAAAGCTCCCAAAAAGTCCACTGTGCAGCTGACACAACCCTCGGGCTGTTGAAACGACAGCTCCAGAGACACGTGATAAGGACGTAAGAATGGCCATGCTGGGTTAGACCAAAGGTCTATCTAGCCAGTGTCCTGTCTGCTGATAGTGGCCAATGCCAGATGTCCCATTCCTGCCCATCCTGGCTATCTCTTTTTCTTTCTTACAGAACAATGGCTACTGCACTCTTGGAATTGAGGTCACTTACGAACCCTCTCAGAATGGGCAGCCGCTCTGGATCATGGGTAACATCTTCCTTAGGGAATATTATTCTGTCTTTGATATGGCCAACAACCAAGTGGGCTTAGCCCTAGCTGCCTAGTTAAACGAGGCCTCACCAGAACTGGCGAAAACATTCCCTTTCTGGTCTAAATCTTCTCTCCTGGACACTGTTGGAATCAGACATAGACTGTGTAATTCTTACTGTGCCTTGCATACAGCCTCAGCTTACCTCTGGCTTGCGTATCCATGCTCTCCACATGTATTGTTGCGAATAAACAGCAAAGAGTCAAATTGTTTTCTGTTGCCTCTTTTTTTTTGTTGTCGGTTGAGTGAAGATTGAGCCCAGCTGTTTACTTGCGGAATCACAACCTCATTGGCACACACCAATTGCTATTCAAGTGTTGAGGAGGAAATTAACCTCTCCGGGACCCATTACGGCCTCAACTTCAAAAAAGCTAAGCACGTAGTAGCCACCATTGACAGCAATGGATAAACCCCCCTCCATGTGTTCCTATTAGGAATCAAATTTCAAAATAGCAAACTCTTCTGCAGCATGGGATGGCCATTCTTTGCACAGCGGTAATAGAGACGCTGATTCTTGACTAGCAGACAAAGGGGATGTGAGGTTTGTAGTAGGCTTTGAGATTCTCCGATGTGGCTGTTGTGGAGGAGGTAGAGTCCCAATATGCTACTTAATACGCTCTGTATTTACATGCCATTACCGTTGCATGGCTGCCCTGAGGCTCTGGTTGTGTTCTTAGCCAGAGTGGAATAGCACAGGGAGTCCCTGATTTCCTATGACTGCACTTAAGTTGCTAAAGTGCTGCCTGAGATTTGTTACTGCTTTGCCTTTACCCCTGTTGAGCCTGACACAAACACACAAGCTCAGTCTTAAAGAGGTGATGGGCCAGAAGAAACTACAGACAAACCTGGCTACCATGGAAGTCTGTGGGAGTTCTGCCATTGAGTTCAATGGGATCAGAGGTGCGGCACAGACAGGCAGAAGTAGACAACACTGAGAAGCTGCCTGAGGATTCAGGATAAGTGGGGGATGAAGCTGAAGGGGAGGGGGGAACTGTCCCCTGAAACCCTGTCATCCACCAGAGGCTGCACTGCCCGCTAATGCTGCCTTTGCAAATTGGCCTTTGGCTGCCATTGGAGAAGGGGCATTTTGGCAGGAGAGCGTGCGAGAGATTAGATCCTGCTCTGTATGTCTAGAGTATGCTGTGGCTTATTGTGATAATGGCTGAACCTCTCTAGTCCGGCACCCTCGGGACCAGAGAATATGCCAGATCAGGGAGGTCAATATTATCTAGCACCATTACCCACACTTCCACTGCTTAGTGGGCTCTTAGAAGACATTTTAGGAGTAAATTAGAGCAAAATAACAGCACAGAACACTGAGAGCCAGGATTGGTGGCTGTAAACAAATTTTATTGGACTTTGGAAAACTTGGCCATACCTGTGATAAGTGAACATCCAGCTAACTAAAACCATGTCGGACCACGGATGTTGCTGGACCAGAGAGTGCTGGCCTAGAGAGATTCAGCCTGCACTGGAAGGCGCTCTGATACAATGATGATAAGCACAATATAAGAACCTGTGTAGAACAGAACAGAAAATGCAGGAAGATGCAATGCAGCCCTTTTATTATTTGTGTGTTACTGTGTCTGAGAGTCCATTGGATGAGACTTTGTAATTCATGGTTATTGGAGTCCAGAGCACTTTTGTAAGGTTAAGGATTGACCCTGGAGAACTTGCTTATTATTATTTAATATTTATATCACAGCAGCATCTAGAGGCCTCATTTGAAATGGAGGTCTTACTGTGCTAGGTTCTGTATGGACATGTAAGAGACAATCCCTGCCCCCAAAATCTCGCCATCTAAATATTCAAATGGTGGGAGGGGAAACTGAGGCGCAGTGATTTATACAGCAGGTTAGCAGCAGAACTGGAGCAATAAAAAGACTCCTGAGTCCCAGCCCAGTTCATTAACCACTACCTCTTGGTCACAACATCCTCTTTCCTCACAGCTGTATACAGTGTTCTGTGCTAATTAGCTGCTGCCATCTACCCCAAAAGCAGCTGCATTTTAGTAGTGTGTTCTATATATGGTTTAGGTGCTTTGGGAGTCTGTCTATAAATGTTGCTTTTCCTGCCCATTCTGTCTATGGAAAGAAAGCACAGTGACCCCAAATCCTGAGGGCTTGAATACAAATGGACATAAAGGACTCATCAAATCAGCAAGATTCCACAGCTGCTAGTGGGGTACCTTTACTCACAATTTTCACAGAGGCAAGAAAACCCAATGTGTCCCCACCATCATTTTACCACTAAGAAATGTCCCTGGGCCTCTGTATTTGGGAAGAGGAAGGGAATGAAACACATTTAGGTCTAGAATTTTGCCGGGCCACTTACTATGAGCTGGGTTTCTTTGTTTCAATTCCAAATGCCCCGTTCTTCAGATCTATTTGCCAGTGGGGAGCATCTTGTCCCCCTATGGTGTCAAGCTGAAGAGTATGTGTTGCTATGGGCAGTATGGACAGGGAGCAGAGCATTGGAAACCTTCTTGTATGAAGACTGGCAAAGGAAAGTGCTTCAGAAACTAGCCCGAGGATTTGAATGTGCCAAAGCATAACTTGCAAGAGTGCTAATACTGTCCGGGATTTGAGATGTGTGTGCCCCAGATTTTGATCACACTAATTGCAACCACGTTGTGTGCCTCCAGCCATCACGAATGAATAAAATATCACCTGTCATGGAGTGTGGGGGTGTCACCAAGCCCTGCACCCCCATCTGCAGCCAGTTCCAGCAAGTAGAACAGAAGGTTTGTTGGTTCCCAGAGACACAGCGTAGCCCAGATTTCTTGTTACAGGAACCAGGAGCATTCAGTACAATCCATCTTGGGGAAAGGGGAGCCCAGAGCCCTAGGTCTGGCTCCCTTCTCCTGCAGCCAGACGAAAAACTCCTTCACACTCTCAGCCACTGCTCACAGCCCCCCAGGCAGCCCCGCCTCCTGCTTTGTCCTGCTTCCAGGCCCACGGTATTATTCGCTGTCACCTGGTCCTCAGGATGTTAGAGACTGACATGCTTCCAGTCATCTGAAGCCGTGGGCTGTGCCCACGAAAGCTCATGATCCCATCAACATGTTTTGTTAGTCTATAAAGTGCTACCGGACCATTTGTTGTTTTTTTAAGTTTATACTTCCACAGTGAGTCATTTCCAGCCTCCCCCTCCTTATGCAGATAGTGCTGCAGTGTCCAGGGAAACTGAGACATGCTGTGACGTCGTGGGGGTGCTGTCTGCTTTGTAACCCAGTGTTCCCAACTGGCTGTGTCACTATGTGTGATTCCCAGTGACTCGCTCCACATGTGTATTGACACCTAAGTCCCAGCCTGAGCAGATGATAACCCTGTTCCTAGAGACAAAAGACAGGACTATGCAGCACTTTAAAGACTAACAAGATGGTTTATTAGATGATGAGCTTTTGTGGGCCAGACCCACTTCCTCAGATCAAATAGTGGAAGAAAATTGACATGACCATATACACCAAAGGATACAATCAAAAAAAGTGAACAGATATAAAATTGACAAATCAGATTTTAGTGTGGGGGGGGGGGGGGAGGTTAGTGTCTATGAGATAATGATATTAGGGGTGATAATTGGGGAAGCTATCTTTGTGATGGGTAAGGTAGTTAGCATCTTTGTTAAGGCCCATTCGTAAAGTGTCAAATCTAAAATCTGATTTGTCAATTTTATATGTGTTCACTTTTTTTTATTGTATCCCTTTGGTGTATATGGTTGTGCCAATTTTCTTCTACAATTTGATCTGAGGAAGTGGGTCTGGCCCACGAAAGTTCATCACCTAATAAACCATCTTGTTAGGCTTTAAAGTGCTGTATAGTCCTGTCTTTTGTTTCAGCCAGATCAGACTAACACAGCTACATCTCTATTACTATTCCTAGAGAGAGAGAGAAAAGAAGAGAGGTGGGGACTGTCCCCAGGCTGGGAAGCTGAGTTAGTCTTGGCTGGGGAAAGCACGAGGAGAGCACATTAAGTCCAGGACAGGGGATTCAGGGGACTGTGAGCCCCTTTCCTCTGAGAGGAATAAGGCTGGCTATCCTATCTCCTGTGATAACATCGACCCTAAGCTAGCCCGTGTCTCTGTGAATCAATAAACCTTGCACTTGACTAGCTGGCTGAGAGTCACATTTGGCTGTGGATGGGGGGCAGTGTTGGGGGGCCCCTGAAGCACCGTCACACATGCACACACATACACAGAGTCACTACAGAGCAGCATAGGACAGTAGGAATCGCACGTGAACAACAAAGCAAACAGTGAATGCAAAAACAGAGCGAGCACAAGAAGGACAAAAGCCCCCTACGTCCCAACACCATAGAATTAAAGGTTAATTTGAATAAGCAGAGCCTTTGGAGGCAAGTTCCTGTAGGTTTGCAGTTTCTGCTAATCAGAATGGGAGGAGGAGAGACGAGTCAACACACTGGGATGGAAAGAAAACACGTGGCTGGAAACCTTGAAATTGGGGTGCTTTTGATATGGAAGCTTATTGTGACTAAGTTAGGAATGTTTGTTGAGTAGTTTGTTGGAGTGAGAAGAGGTTATGAGCCAGTAGGGGTCACTATGAGCTGTGTGTTTTGTAGAAGTTCGTTATAAAAAGATATACTTTGGAGCAGTTCTTTGAAACTGTTCCAAGAGACTTTTTCCTGACACCACACTCGCTAGCAGGGAAACAAGCGGCCATCTTGACCCTGCTTCAAATTACTCAATATCATCTCAGATTCTAGTTAATTTATATGGGCAGTTCTCAACCGATTGCTTATCTCTGTGTGCTTAAATCTAATAAAGGGTAGCTGTAAGATAAGTGCATGCTTGTATCAGTTTTCATTAGCTGGCTGTGCTATGTGCCCATGGGTTTTTTCCTTGACACCACTTGGAGTGAAACAGTTAAGTTATCCCTCCTTGGGGCTCTGAAAAACCTGAGTAATGCTATTCCCAATGCACTGCTGCATGCACTGCCGGGTCCCTAGGGATCCCTTGTATTTCATCTATCCAAACATAAGATTCCTAGAAAGTTGTTGTGATCTGGCAGCAAAGAAAAGGTTAAAAGGCCCCTCCCGGGTAGCTGCAGTGATACCTTGGAGAATTCCTGGAGGCCTGATCCTTCATATTTTTACAAACTGCAAAAAGGTGATGGCTTATTATGAGCTTTATCCGGAGGATCCGTGTAGATCTGGGACTCGGTTGC